TTAGTTTTTTTATATTTTTATCAGAATCTTCTTTTTTTGAAGAATAGACACTCCAAATTTCAAGTGATTTGGATTTGAATTTGGGCCGATTGCTGAATTCCAAGTGACAGACAAGGATCCTGTCAGCCCACTACTTGATGCCTACAGTGTCAGCCAATGACCCAGATTGAATCTGGACCGATCCGACGGTCACGACCTCATTTTGTATTTGAATTTTTATTTTTATTTTTTTACAAATCCAAATCACTTGAAATTTTAGGATTAGTTCTTCTCATCAGGACGCACCTAATAAAAATATAAAAATAAAATTCGAAAAATAAAAAGTGACCAAAATACCAAGAAAAATTTCGGGGGTATTTTTGTTAATTTATATTTTGTAAATTATTGTTTTTATATATTTTTATTAGATTTTCCTATTTTTGAAAAATAGATGCTCAAAATTTTAAATGGTTTAGATTTGTAAAAAAAATAAAAATTCAAAATTTAAATGAGGTTGTGCCCATTGGATGGGGCCAAGATTCAATCTAGGTTGTTGCCTGATACTGCAGTTGTCAGCCTGTGGGCTGACAAGATCTTTTTCCATATATACATATATATATATAATATAAAAGGAATGACCTTGTAAGACTCTCCCACACCCATGTGTGTAAGACCTTAAAGGATCACCATTAAATTTGGCACAGATCTCTAGAAAAATCTAGTCCCACACCCATAAGATAACTTTTCTAGAGATCTGAATCAAATGTAATAGTGATTCTTTGAAGTCCTACATATATGAGTGTGGGAGGGTCTCGGATCATTACTCTAACATAAATAATGGTGTTCTATGAAAAATGCATTTCTCTTACAATTTTTTTAAAATTATTTGTCATTAGCGAACAATAATGGAGCAGCTCCATTCCATTCATTATGACATTTTATGAAACCTCTTTGTAAGTGTTCAGGACTTTTAAGTTGTTGAGAGTTTTTAGGAACGGCATTCAAAGCTGTCGTTTGTTGAGGGCACGATAACAATAACAAGTACTAAAGCTTTTGCCCGATATAAATATGGCATATGCACATGTTGAATATTTACTAAAAAAATATTAAAATGATCGCTTTTCAAGTTTTCAATCTATTTCCTCAACATGCAGTCGAAAACATCGAATAGAAAAAAAATATTAAAAGAGCAGCTTCAAGTGCCAATATTGACGTGGCTCTAATGTTCTTTTTTTTTTTTTAATAAAGAAAGTGTTAAGTTAGTGGGGATTTGGGCTCTTATTTTTTTGATGAGAATCGAGCCAGAGACCTCTAATGTTAATAATATAATTTATACATGTAAAAGCTATTTGATAGACTTATCGTTTATTGATTGTGATCATCCAGTTAAGAGCAAAAGCAATTTGAGCCCATTACAAATCTCACCATGGAACTCGACAATACTACTGTCAAAACCTCAAACCATTCTCGGGGGTCTCTAGACATTTGACAACTTTATACTACTTCTTCAATTGTCGGTGTGAATATAGCAAGTTCATCAACCAGCAATACTTCCACCCAACCATACTTGACATTTACATTTAGATATGTTTTAAAAAAGGAAAAATACATATACAAGTAGTGTAAATGCGAATCATGTAGTGAACACGTGAATCACGTCATCTACGGTTAAGATATGCAATTTCATATACAATATCCAGCTTTCTACTACCAAACAGGTACCACAGGCTATCAAACAAGGTTTTTAGCATTTAGGCTATCAATTTTTGCTTTTCTCTAAATTTTCAAAAAATTCGGCAATTGAGATTTCCCTAGAAGAATTGTATTTTCAAAAAATTCAGCAATTGAGATTTCCCTAGAGAAACTGTAAAGAAAGTTATCAAATGCACCATTAAGGGCTATTTGGTTCGTTAGAAATCTCTCTAGGTATAAAATCGCGTCACTGAACTAAAATCTATGTTGTGATATCAGTTTGTTTACCATGGAGATGCGGTTGGCAGGTTAGCCCAGCCAAGCTCAGTTGACATTGCTTTGAAGAACTAGGGAGCTACAAAATGTGGCTCGAGAACCAGACCATCATGGTCGGAGGAAAGGGTTGGGATGAGCATGGGGTAGGTCTGCCACGGAGTTCGGCCCGGCCTTTTTTCTCTTATTGTTTTTCTTTTAGTTACTTTTATTGTATTGTATTTAGCCTTGGCCTAGCCTAGAATAGGGCCAACCTTGGAGGGAATAGGCGTCGGGCTGGCTCAGCCTTAGGGGTGATAACGGGTTGGGTATGACTAGACTTGGACCTAGATTTAGACTTATATCCAAATAGTATTCGAGTCTAAGTTTTGGACCTGGACCTGACCCCTCAGGTCCAAAAGTTGAACCCATACTTGTACCAGTCGGGTAATAGTTAAAGACGACTATGCGTTTTTATTGTATATGATTCTTGATAAACTCAAATGAATAGGATTTGAAGTATTATATTTCCTGACTACGAGTTGTTATTTATATAATCCTTAATACACCCAAACGAATAGAGCTTGAAGTATTTTATCTCCAATAGCTTATGGATACGAGTTGGGTCCAACCAGACCGGAACCCAAATCCAAATAGTGTTCAGGTCCAAGTTTTGGCCCCTCATACCGATGTTAGTTCTACTTGATGGGTCTTAGGTCAGGCCTAGGTCCGGCTTTGGCTCTGGCTCCGGCTCCGGCTCCATTGCCACCCGTACTTAGGCCCGACAGAGATTGCGACCCGTACTTAGGCCCGACAGAGAGAGAATCCCTTCTTGGCCCCACCCTTACATGGAGAGAGAGAGACTTTTCTTTTTCATTCTCAGATGGGAAGAGCATCTCTGTGCAGTTGTTCCTTTTCAGCCCGAGAGTGAGAGAGAGAGAGAGAGAGAGGAGAGTGTCTTTCACTCCTAGAGAGAGAGAGAGAGAGAGAGAGAGAGAGAGATAGAGCGACAGAGACTCTCTCTCTTAGCCTTTGAGTTGGGAGAAAATAAAAGGGTCTCTGGGTACGGTCTTCTTTTTTCCACCTAATAAGCAAGGGCATTGTAGACATTGACAAGAGCGAATTGAGCGAAACTTTTACTCCACCTTTCCAAAAAGGGGTTAAAAGCAGTGAACAAACTCCACACCCTCTCTGTCATTACAGCAAAGCTTAAGGTTACTCATATTTTCTCACTCCCGATATTTGCGCCTCTCCCCACTCTCTCTTCCCCTCTGATCTCCTCTCTCCTCCATGAGAACATGTCCTCTTTCTTCTCCTCACCAGAGTCCAGGTTCCCCAAACCAGAGAAGAAATGGGTCTTCCCCTTAGCAATTACCCTCTCTTTCTCTCTCATACTCCTCTTCTTCACCACATTCATCGTCTCCTACGCTTCCATTTTCAGGATATCGTCTATCTCTACAAATTCGGAGCCCCTCTTCGTCGAATCCAAGTTGGGTATCTCTCCTCCCGTCTCTTCTGTCTCTACAATCCCAAGGCTCGGTTATTTGATCTCTGGTTCAGTGGGTGATGTCGAAAGCTTGAAGAGAACGCTCCAGGCTCTGTATCATCCGTTGAACCAGTATGTTGTTCACCTCGACCTGGCTTCTTCAGTAGATGAGCGATTGGAGCTCGCAAACTATGTTGAGAATCACCCCATTTTCTCTCGGATCGCGAATGTTCATGTCGTTACGAAGGCAAATCTAGTGACCTACAGAGGGCCAACAATGGTGGCAAATACTCTCCATGCTGCCTCGATTTTGTTGAAAAAGAGCGGGGAATGGGACTGGTTTATCAATCTTAGCTCTTCGGACTATCCCCTTGTTACTCAGGATGGTATGCCACTTTCTCTCTCTTGAACTGTATTTCTTCATTCCTTCCTCCCCTGTTTTTTTGTTTCTTTCTCTTGGAGTGGGATTGGTTTGGTGGGTATCGTCATTGTTTGGGTTGAAGAGCATTATGATGCAATTTTTTCCCTTCTAGTTTGTTTTCTTGATTTTTTTTTTGTTATCATTTCATAATTTGGGTTTCGTTTTATTTTATTTTCTGTTATTCATGGGTTACATTTAAGAACATTACCTTATGATTCAATTTTTTCTTCTTTTCGTTTCTTTTTTGCTGGTTTTTATTCTAGTGAAGTTTTTCACCTTTCATTCGTTTTTTATTTGATAAATTGGAGTTGGGTTTTTATCAATATCTTCTCTTTCACCCATGGTCTTCTTTTTAGCTTTTGTTTCTTTTTGTCAGTATAATTGGTTTTTTTTTCCTGCCCTTTCCATCTATTTTGTTTTACTATTCGGAGCTGGGTCTTATGAATTCTAAACAATTTTTTTTCTACTCGACTTGGAATAGATCTGCTTCTTACTCTCACGGGTCTTCCACGACATCTGAATTTCATCGAGCATACGAGTGACATTGGATGGAAAGAGTATGCACCCTCCACATTTGATCTATCCATGTTATGATAGGTTCCCAGAGCATACTATATTCTTCTATTTCAAGTTCATTTGGTGGGTGAATTTACTTATCTTTGTGCTTGCTTGCCTGCTTTGTAAACAGGTTTCAGAGGGCAAAACCTATCATCATAGATCCTGGGTTGTATATGTTGCAAAAATCAGAAGTGTTCTGGGTTTCACAGCGCAGAAGTGTTCCTACTGCATTCAAGCTCTTTACAGGTGAAAATCTTATGTTGGGTATTTTTATGCTTTACTTCTTCAGAGAAAGTTTAAACAATTGGTTATATCAATTGTGATAGAAAAGTTTATGCTGTGGTTATCACTAGTTGTGTTTCTTGGATTGGTTAGTCTCTTATGATGAAAAGGGATTTTGGTATTTCATCTGTCTTCTTGTCTGCTTGCTTTATTCTCCTCTTGCAAGGAGTTGTTTTTTTATCCCTTTCCTCTTCTTGTTTTATCCATTCTTCTCACTGTGTTCTTACTGATGAAGTTGCATGCTGCTCCTTTTCTCAATGAGTCAATGTGGTAATATCTGGGTAGTGAATGTTCCAATTGGAGGTTGTGTTGTTTATTCCTTATAAAAATTGATCTCAGCGACATAGGCTATACTGATTAATTCAAGAGTATAGCTGTAATTATGAATCATGTAAGCACTATATATGAGGATGATATATTTATATTGGACTGCTCTAAAAGCTTTTCATTTTGTAACGACAGCCATAACCTTATGTTTTGATTTGCAGTTGAGATGTATACATTTTCTTCATTGGGATAAATTAGCTGGGCTTGAATCCACAGCCTCAAGTTTGCATTAACTAGAACCTTCCAAATACCCTGTTTTGTAGATCCCAATTTTGCATATGTTTAACAATTAGGGTGCAGTTCTCATTCATTAAAGAGAAGTTAATGAATAGTATGTGGGACATAGTTCATTGCTCCAAACGATTTAACTTGGATAATGTTGCACCAATATCATGGTATCATAACCGAGGATGATCTCAAGTTCTTTGGCAGTTTTGGTGCAAATTCCGTCTTTCATGTGTTTCTTTGAGAGAGGCCTCTTTGGATTCATAGGTTCCGGACATACTCGTTTCAAAGGAATTGTAATTGTTTCAATATTGAATTGTTCTCCTCATTTCTGGAGGTTGGTCTTCTTGACACCTTATCTTCTCAAGAGAGTGATTTATATTTTAATTTGATTCAATCACTTTATTTTCAATGCAACAAAAATGCCTTAAACTCTTGATTCAAGTATGATAAATAAAAAAGGGCTGCTCTTGTGGAAGCTTCAAGTGAAGGATCAGAGGATGTGATTGACAATATGGATTGGGAGTCACAGTATCAGGGTTTTAATCCCCCCTCCATAAGTGAAATTGGTATGATAAGGTGTCTGCCTGTGGTCCCGGCTGCGATATGATGAGAAGCTATTCCCCCCGGAACAAAAGGATCAAAACCTTCAGCGCCCCATGCCGGTTTTACAGATTGCACTTTCCCGTTAGTCCATAAGGATCAGACACCCATATTCCAGGACCATACAAACCTGTGACATGAAATGCGCCAAACCCAAAGCAAGCCACCCTGAGAGAAATAAATGAATTCCAAAGATTTTGGGCAAATCCAAAGATGGTACTAGCTTAGTGACAAATATCTTCAACAATTTCTTTATTCTATCATGATTCACGATAAGATCTGATGCTAATAATATTTCTGATACTTTTCTGGTAAACTTTATTTATTTGTGATATTTTTTGGCCTCATGTGATTATCAGTGATAGAAAAACATTTCCAACACTAACATGTATGTAATGTGAAAGCAAATATAGCAGTTCGAGACTTCGAATTTGAAAGAAACAGATAATTACCTTAAAATAGCTCTAAAATCTCATGCAATTGTAAGGAATTTAATAATGGATTTGTAAGTTAAAGCAATTAAGATAGAAATGTATTTTGATATTTTAATTTTGAGAAACACTAGAAATTATAGAAAAGACTTTATCATTTATAAGTTTTTTAACATTTATATTTTTATTATGTTTGATTTGAATTCATATTTAGCAATATTAAAAACGTTTTTTGCATGATAAATTATATATTGATTTTATATTTATTAAAGTCCCGGTAGTTATCTGGCAAATCTTGACAAAATGCTCCACTGATATTATGCCGATAATGATAATTCTCACTGAATTTAACCTTTTCTCCCCAAAAAAAAAAAAAATCTCACTGAGTCATGCTTGTCTTAGAAATAAAAATGAGTGGGAGGAATTGTGTTCCCACTCTTATGATATGTGGAGGAGCTTTGAGAGGACTATCTTAGATGCTGTGGTCAGTCTTAGGAGCATTTGGATTTTAGGGGATCTTGGAAAATTAATTGCTTGAATGTTTATGGGGTGTAGGTTTTTCATTTTGGTGGATGTGATGAAGTCTTGGAGTACTACCTGGTGGCTTCAGGGCAGTACAATCAAATTTCCTTATGATACTTTTTTGGAGACTTAACAGTTATTTATTTATTTACTATCACTGTCTCATGTTTTTCTATCACCCATGTACTTGTGTTTATCCAAATGATATTCTTCTCCTGTGGGAGTAGAATGTTCATTTACTACCTTAGGTAAAACCCCACCTGGAATTAAATTTAGGACCCCAAATTTAGGGGATATAACCTCTTCAACTCACAGATTAACGTCAATAAAAAAAAAATCCTTATTATACCCTCTATGCACTTGAAAAAAATAATTTCTTGAGATTGAATAAACACCATACAATTTTTAGATGGTAGATCTAAGGGTTAAAACTCAAATTGCAATTTTTTTTTTTTGAGGATAATCATCTAGTAATTTTTAAGTGGTTCCCAAAATTTCAGATTGAAAAAGTTTCCTCCCAAGTAGGTCTTCTAAACGAGGGAGTAGAAGTAAAATATACTCCCGAGGGAGTGTAGTATACTTGCTCTTGTGCTTCTATACTTGAATACATTGTAAGGCTATTTCTGTTATTATACAATTTGGAAGTATTTTTTATGCATGTTATAATGGGAGCTGTTATATCATTTTCCCTCTCGCTCATTTACCATATGTATCCTTGTTTTAAGAAAGTTTACTTCTAACTCCCAACCCATAACCATCCCCAGGAAGCACAAACAGAAAAACTCTTGACTTTTCACTTTCTTTTCAATATAACTCTCATATGGATTTTTAAATTATTCTTAGACTAAAGTACCATTTCGCCCATGGAGTGGGTTCTCTGACCCCTTGGGTCTCTCTCTCTCTTTCTCCCTCTTGTTCCATGGAGTAGGTTCTCTATCCCTCTGGGTCTCTATCTCTCTTTTTCTCTCTCTCTCTCTCTCTCTCTATATATATATATATATAATAATGGAATATGTTAGTAGTTCATCATCAAAGCCTTTTTCCAACTATTTGGGGTCAGCTACACGAATCCTGGTCCGCCATTCTACTCTATCAAGGGCCATACCTCAATGAGGCCATAAGTCCTCATATATTTTCTTACTACTTCCAACCATGTCTTTTGGGCCTGCCTTTTACCCTTTTGAGCCTTCCACTTGAGCTAACTTGCACTTCCTAACAGGTGCTATTGGGTTTGCGTTAAACATGGCTAGCCCACCTAAGTCTACTTTCTGTCATCTTATCACCTATTGGAGCCACACCTTTGTTCTCCTAAATGTATTCATTTCGTATTCGTAATATGTTAGTAGTTGAAAACCCTAATTCATGACAAAGATTTTTACTCTCCTAAACAAGCACACATAGGAGCACAGAGCTTCAGTGACACCATCATGGTAGTTTTAATAAGAAGCAAGGTGAACCCATTTTGTTTCTTCACTGACACATGAAAAATCTAGAGCTGTGCTCTTAAGATACACAGAAATAACAGATTCCCAAATTTAGTAAATAAGCTTTGAAATTTTACTAGGGGTAAAATTGCAAGTCTGATTTTGCAGCAGACCTCAGCTTTTGTTCAAAACCTTGTTGTAGAGGATGAGGAAGGGAGAAAGAGGCGACTTGGAAAGGGGAGGAAGGATGATTTTGCTTTCAGCACTTGAGGGGTGTGGGATTGATTACTCTTGGGGTTTCTTTGTAAATGGGGGATTGGTGTTTTGTGAAGAGTGAGAGAGAGACAAAGAGAGGGGAGATGGATAGATTCTAGAGCAAGAGTGGAGTTAGACAAGGGTGTTTCTCAGGCTTGGTTTTCTCTTTCTACTCTCTGCCCTCCTTTTCCATTTCTGTGCCCTCCATTCTCATTGCTAATGAGAAATGGAGCTTTAGCTAGAATTTTGACGGTCTCAAAGCTAAAGCAGTATGTTTCAGTATGCGAGGGACGGAGGGGAGGGAAGGTGGGGAGGGAGGGAGCGAGTGAATTTCTTTTTTTTTTTTAATATAATTCCTGTACAATGGTATTTTGGTCCTAGAATAACTTAAAAGCCATGTGGGGGGTTTGTTGAGAAGAAAGTGAATTTTTTAAAGATAATTGCCGTACAAGGGACTGAGGGAGGAATTTCTTTCAATATAATTCTTGTGCAAGTGTGTTTGGTCCTAGAATAACATAAAAAGCCATGTTAGGTTTGTTGAGATGAAAGTGATTTCTTTCAATTTAATTCCTGTACAAGGGTGTTGTAAAACTTTTGGACTTTTGTTTGCACCAGAAAGGTTTGGTTTTTTTTAGGGTTAGTCATGGGTTGGGTGTCGGCCATAAATATCTTTTCACTTTAAGCTCAATTGAGGTTAATGAGAATACAATTTCATGTATTTCTAGTGTTGACACCAAATGTTTTAACGAAATCAGCACCATACAAGGGAGGTATCAAGAGTACAGAGTTTTTTTGAGTCATCTCTTTACTATCTCCTGTATTTATAATAATGTGCATTGGGTTTTGAGGGAGGGGATGTTTTTAGTAAAGGCTCTCTAGTCAAATTACATGGCACATCCACAAGTAATCCTCGTCGACTTCATTGGAATAAAGGTACTTAATGTGTAAGCTTAGAAAAGGTAGTGTTTATCACAATTTTCTGTTGTTGAAACTACCATTTTGGATACTTTGATGTCTGATCTATAGGTGAACTTGAAATCTTTGGACTGCAAAAATGTTCTATTTGCTTTTTCTCAAAAAAAAAAAAAAAAAATCCTATTTGCTTAGTCATTAATCTTGAACTATACGACCTATAAGGGTATACTACAATAAAGAAGGAGAGAAAAAAGCAAAAGGGTTTTACTTTAAGGCTGTGAAAGTAATGATTCCTACTGAACCACCAATAAAAAACTGAAGGGAAAAAAAAAAAAAAAACGAAGAAGAAGAAGATGAGATCATTTCCTGCTCTATTTCCTCGTCATCCGAAACTTATCATATCATGAAAGCATCCATAGACTAAGACTCCTATCAAGAGCACACTAGAGAGATTTGTAAATCAAACCTTAGTGCTTCCCAATGAGCTTCCCTAGTCACATGACAATGTGATTAGGAGGTAGGAGTCTGAAGCAACGGCTACAAACCTCTTGAACTCCTTATAGTAATTTTTATAGGTACTCTTAAACCTGTTCTACACTGGCTGGTGATTACTGATTCATAGTTCTTAACATATACTTGATGAGATTCCAATTCTTATGGATATGATGCAACTCAAGGTCCAAACTCAATGAATTCATGGATAATAATATTTACTTGGGTCATGAAAGTCCCTTGGCTCAGAAATGCTGGGCCTGCCCATTTTACATCAATTTACTTAGCAATTCAGCCACAATTTTTAAGAGCTTGTGGTAGCTTATTATGGGGGCAGTCATTTCAAATGTCTTGCTTTAGGAATTCCGTATACAATCACCATGCTAATCTTGTTTCTTTAGTGGATTACTTGGCTTCAAACCCAGGGCCCTAAGTGTTTCCCCCCACCCCTTTTCTCCCTCGAAAAACCAGGGCCCTAGAGTTGGGGAATTAAATTTGCATATCAATTAAATTAGTCTCTAGAAGATATGTGACAGGGTATTCTACAAGGTTGGCATGTGAAGAAAATGTGTATTAGACAAGCTGTAGTTTGAATAGCAGTAAAGGATCCACCCCTATGCATGTCTAATGTGTTGAAACCATCTTACACACATGGACATGTAGAACCTACTCACGCATGTAACTTTCCTCGTGTGTAACTGATCACTCTTAAAACACCCGCCCAAAATGCAGCAAGTGCCTGCAAGCAACTGTGTTTTGTAGAATTTGAGGAACTGCACTTAATGGTCATGTTGCTTTGATTTTTGATCTGTTGCGTGTGTCATCCATCCTCTCATCATGTTAGCATCTCTCATTCAGGCACAAGGTGGGCCCTTGATGTACTTGAGCCTCCATTGACATTTGCCAAGGGCATGAGCCCTGATTTGACAGAAAGCATGTTATTTCGTGTGCATTATGTGCACTAATATAATTACGCCGATCGGCAATCAATGCACAAATTTACCAGCATGTCATCATCATTCAAATAACATCTAGGAAATCCCGTAACACCAAAGACAAATTTCACGGATTTCAAATATCATGAAGTTTGTTTTATGCATCATTCACATGGTTGAATTGCATAATTTATTTGTTTGTAGCAGATTCATTGCAAAAGTCCAGGTTAGTAATGACTAAGATTAAATCATGGTTGGTGATGGCATCAATAAATCTTCATTGTATGGAGAATGAATCATGTGAAACTAAATTCTAATAGAACCTTTCACATTTCCTGTTTGGTTTTATACATTCATTTTGTTTTGATCTTGGTCGCTTTTGCCTTTGTCCTTCCTATTGACAGCAATCTTGTATTATATTTGATACACAGGGTCTGCTTGGATGATGCTCTCTCGTGCATTCATTGAGTTTTGTGTATGGGGTTGGGACAATCTCCCTCGTACCGTCTTGATGTACTACTCCAACTTCTTGTCTTCCCCTGAGGGCTATTTCCACACTGTTATATGCAACGCTGAGGAGTTCACTAACACCACAGTCAACCACGACCTCCACTATATATCATGGGACAACCCACCAAAGCAACACCCCCACTTCCTTGTTCTGAATGATTTTTCCTCTATGGTCCAAAGCAATGCTCCTTTTGCGAGGAAATTTGGAGCCAATGACCCAGTGCTAGACAAGATCGACCAAGAGCTCTTGGACCGTGGAGCTGGTCATCTTGTACCTGGTGGATGGTGTATTGGAGATAAGAAAAACGGGAGTGATCCATGTTCGGTTATAGGCAAGACGGGAGTTTTGACGCCTGGGAAAGGTGCCGTGAGGCTAAAAAGCCTCATTGATATGCTTCTTTCGCGGGATAATTTCCATCCAAGCCAATGCAAGTAATGGATATGGTGAAACAAGAGAGAGTCAAGCTTTGGTTATCCCACGATAAAGTTGCAGCTCTAACATGGTTATGAGCACCACTACACTATTGGTGAGGGATTATTTTTCGAGTTTGGATTATAATAGAAATATGCAAACTAACTTGGCCATGCCGAGTGGGGTGAACTTCAGGAGTTCTTCGAAGCCCTTAAAAGAATTGGGCTTAGCTTCATTGGTGTCATATATGTAACTATACAGGTGTTCCTGTGTATGATAAATGCCTTTCTAAAGAAGAAGTTTGCCCCTCATGCAGTAAAATATAATCCTTATTTTTTTTACCAGGTAAGTAGTTTCAATTTTTATTTTTTGTTGTATATGGACGTTGGTATATTTTACCTTAAATGGTTGTAGCAGCTCATGATCAGGAATTGCTATTGAAGTCACGGATATGCAACTATAAAAGTAATAATAGATTTTGTTTACTCGGAAGTAATACAATTGCGGAAGTGCAAGCTTTCTTTTGCTTTCATACAGTATTTTGAAACCCACCGAGCCAGTTCAGGAATGGCCGATCTGGACAAGGAATCGTCCAGGATTGAATTGGTTCGAAGGAGGTATTGGTACCAGTCCGGTCCCCCTCCTAAAACCCCAACCCCCAATTTTATTTTATTTTTTTCGATTTCTTTTGAGCTCATCTTAGGGTGTGTTTGGCTGTTGGAGATGAGCCTGCCAAAAGTCCTCTCTTACAAAAGGGAAAGGTTTCTTATACTTGTATTGGGTAGAAGATATATGCTTCTCCCTCATCCAGCTGTCCAATTTAGATCAAGTGAGTCATTGATCATTTGATATATAAGATCCGACAATTCAAGAGAATTTTATTTTTAATTTTTTTTCTACAAATTATGAGAATAAGAAATTTGGTAAGTACGAACACACCTAAAAAAAATTAAAAACAATTTTTTGATAAAATATAATGAGCTCTTATGTGTGATTTTAAGAGAGTGGATGTCTAAATTTTGGTGTGAAAATAGTTTGTAAACAAAATATTAAATATAAAATAGTATAGAGACATGATATTGTGATTGAGGTCATTTCAGCCGTCTATTCAAAATGGACGGTTGGATAAGGAGAAATATACAACCAATAGAGGAAGATAGAAAGCTTGCCCCCAACAAAAAGAGTGAAAGTTCATGCCACAGCATGGAAACCCTACAAAATATGGAAAGCCTTTAAGAGGGGTGTGGAAGGCTTTGCTCCCATATTTTAGCTTTCATACCCACCTTCAAACATGGGAAGGTTGATTGGTGCCCATAAAGTTCCATCAATCAATCACCGCCTTTGATATTCTCTTAGGTCCCCTCCCCTCCCCTAAATTCACATCTATAGACCTATATATTTTTTAAAAATTGTTTTAATATTGTTTCACATCGCCTGTTCAGAGCACTTTAGATTTGTGATCCTACAATCCGATATGGATCTATGGGTGGATGATATACCCAACCAAGCTGGAATTTTGAAACACTTTTCATGCGATGATATATGAACTGTTTCAATTATTTCTTTTGATCATGTTATGCTTCCTTGTAACTTTTGCTAACATGTTGCCCAATCATGATGTTCTTGATGAGAAATACAAATGATTATAAAGTTTGAACCTGATTTGTAAATGCAAATGATTATAAGGTTTGAACCCGATTTGTTGTGTTCTTTTCTTAAACCACCTGTCAAAGACAACGGATTAGAATTTTGCTACACGCTTCCACCTTAGCATGCTACACATTAACTCCCTCCCTCGTGTAAAGTACTCGTGAGGATTTTTTGCTATGAAATTTTGGGAATCATTTAAGAATCATTAGATGATTATTTTCAAGAGCATAAATTTGGATTTTGTATTCTTCAAACAGTTAGATCTCATCTTTCAAGAATTGGACAATCTCTATTCAATCCTAAGATTTATCTTTTCTCAAGTGCATAGAGAATGCAATTTGGATATATATATATAGAAGCATCTACAAAACGCCCATAGGTGAAGTTTTATAGTACTTCACCTACTCCTTATCACCGTCCAAAGTTCATCTCACGATTATAATTTTCGGTAATATTTGAATTTTTATAATTTTTTACTAATCATATCTATAAATGACCAAGCCGCACCAAAATAAAATATTAAAAAAATAATAGTCAAAATAAAATGATGAAATTACCCCTGAAACTTTATAGGGGTATTTTACGTAAGTTTTATCATTCAAATTATTTGTTTTATATTTTATTTATGTGCGTCTCACTAAGACGCACACACCTGCAAAATTTAAGATCATTATGGCTTGTAAAAAATATATTAAAATTCAAACACTATCAGACATCTGTGGCCATGTGACAAACTTTGAACGGTGATAAAATCGTAGGTGAAGTACTGTAGAACTTTACCTTTAGGCGTTTTGTAGTGTTTTCTGATATATATATATATATATATATAGAGAGAGAGAGAGAGAGAGAGAGAGAGAGAGAGAGAAGAAAA